TTTTTTTTTAAACAAAAAGGAAACTGAATATATTATTATTTTAGATTTTCTATATCCCTGGCTAGAGTGCAATGGCATTATTACAGCTCACTGCAACCTCAATCTCTTGGACTCAAGCCATCCTTCCACATTAACCTTCAGAGTAGCTGGGACTACAGGCACACATTTGCATGCTCTGTTATTTTTATGTTATGTGTTATCTATTATGTTTTATGTGTTATCTATTTTTTTGTATAGGTGGGGTCTTGCTCTATTGCCCCGACTGGTCTGGAACTCTTGGCCTCAAGGGATTCTCCCACTCTGGCCTTCCAAAATGCTGGGAATACAGGAGTGAACCACTATGCCCAGCCTAAAAACACTTTTGAAAATGTGTGGGAAGTGCCACAAGGAGTCGGCTGTCACTTGGAACAGGAAACCAGAGTGGTGTTTCTGGAACCTTTACACACACACGAATCACACAGGCATTTCAGTTAGACATACAGGTTGTGGCCTAAAGATTTATTATGCTGACCTGGGCAGAACTCGGCTGGGGCCTGCTCTGCTGTGATGTGTGTATAGATGAGGTTATTAGCACCACACAGTTATCCTAGGATCAACCTTACTTGGCAATTCATAAAAGTAAAGATGTAGGCCAGGTGAGGTGGTTCCCATCTGTAATCTCAGCACTCTGGGAGGCCAAGGCAGGTGGATTTGGATTGCTTGAACTCTGGAGTTCAATACCAGCCTGAGCAAGAGCGAGACCCTGTTTCTACTAAAATCAGATAGAACAGCCAGGCCTTGTGGTGCACACACCTGTAGTCCCAGCTACTGGGGAGGCTGAGGCAGGAGGATTGCTTGAGCCCAAGAGTTTGAGGTCGCTGTGAGCTGTGATGACGCCACTGCACTCTACCCAAGGAGAGAAAATGAAACCATGTCTCAAATAAATAAATAAAGAAGTAAACATGTACCTTCCAAGGCAAGTTCCGTTCCTCAGAAATTCTTGAAGATTTCTAAGTCTTTCTCTGGCACAGGAGGGGCGGGATCCCACTCATTCTCGGGGTACGTTTCGAAGTTGGACGTGTCCCCATCACTGGATATCTTGGGCACAATGGGAGGCTGTAGGGAACGGCAGACGCACAGAGTCCAGCTTAGAAAAGACACCTGGCTGGTGCCGTGGACATCACTTTGCTTCTGTCTCCTCATAAAAGCATGGAAATGATTTGGAAAAGCCAACAGCTGTCTGCCCCTCATTTGTGAACACAGAGAGCTTGGAATTATAAAACGGTGAGTGGCCAGCATGCCTGGAACCCAGGGCTTGTGCCTCTTACGTTCTAGAACGGTGGTTCTCAACCTTCCTAATGCTGCAACCCTTTAATACAGTCCAAAGGGGTTGTGACCCACAGGTTGAGAACTGCTGTTGGAGAATGAGAACCACCCACACTGCTTATCCAAATGCAGATTCCCAGACCTTGCTATGTCTGGGAGATTCTGACATCGATGATTCAGCGGTGACCAGGCTTTGGAAAATTCTAGTGCAATAGAGAATGTTGCAGACCAATTGCTTCTGGTCTGAAGCAGTAAAAAAAGGACACCAAGATCTGGAGAAGGGTCAGAATTTTTTTTTCCCCACAAAGGGGCAATAAATATTTTCACTGATACAGGTCACGAGAGTTCTGTTGCAGCCAGTTCTGACACTGACCATCAAGGTGGTTGGTGTTAATACACGGGTCATTATGAAAGTTTTAAGATATACA